CCCACCTGCCAGGTGAGGGTTGTTAGATTTTATGTCAGTTGCCTCCTCCTCCTGCCGCCTCCTGCCTCCTGCCTCCTCCTCGTCCTCCTTGTCGTCCTTGTCGTCCTCGTCGTCCTCGTCGTCCTCGTCGTCCTCGTCGTCCTCGTCCAACTGCGACCCGCGATCCACAGTGTTCGCTGCCGGACCTCAACCACGACCATCCACGACCAGTGTTCCCTGCCGGACCTCAACCACGACCAGCCACGCCCAGTGTTCCCTGCCGGACCTCAACCACGACCGGCCACGCCCAGTGTTCCCTGCCGGACCTCATCTGCGAGTATCCATGCCAAGTGTTCCCTGCCGGACCTCAACCGCGGGTATCCATGCCAAGTGTTCCCTGCCGGACCTCATGTAGGAAGATATGGGACAAAGAATGTGCAGAAGAAAGTTAGAACGAATGTCAGAAAGAATGTCAGAAGATATGCCAGAAGATATGCCAGATAGAATGCCAAATAGAATGCCAGATAGAATGCCAGAAGATATGTCAGAATATATGCCAGAAGATATGCCAGATAGAATGCCAGAAGATATGCCAGGACATATGCCAGAAGATATGCCAGATAGAATGCCAGATAGAATGCCAGAAGATATGTCAGAATATATGCCAGAAGATATGCCAGATAGAATGCCAGAAGATATGTCAGATAGAGTGCCAGAAGATATGCCAGATAGAAGGCCAGAAGATTTGCCAGATAGAATGCCAGAAGATATGCCAGATCATATGCCAGAAGATATGCCAGATAGAATGCCAAATAGAATGTCAGAAGATATGTCAGATAGAATGCCAGAAGATTTGCCAGTAAGAAAATGTATAAATGTCATGGTGGGGATCACACGAAGTAAAGTAATTTCTGTACTATTCAATGGCTGGCTATGCACCATTCTCGGACACACCCATGTGATGCTGTAATCCAGTTACAACTGGGATTGCCCCCTACAGCAACAGGGAACTTACCCTCTGGTAAACCTACAAAAAGCTATGGAAAATCATTGTTTATAGGTAAATCAACATAAATCAACTATAAATGGCCATTTTCAATGGCAAACTGTTCGTTTACCAGAGGGTACCTACCTTGGTGAATGCGGAGTGCCCCTATTCCTGAAATCCCGTTTCGGATGCCCTAAAAATGGGGATTCTACGACCACGAGAAATCTGGTTTCATGTGAGATTCGGAGATTTTTGGAGAATGCCCCACTGTCAGACACACCTGGGTATGACTCAAAACCAAGCACCCTCCGGCACACGTGGCAATACATGATGGTACGGTGTCTTTAAGAGTCAAATGGTATGGAGTTTGTCTACCATTTGATGAATTTCCATATTTCCAGTACATTGATATTGATAATCTATCTTTTGAGACGGTCAAATGTATGGAGTCTATCACGTCTAAATTGTCAAATTCCAAGTAAAGAATGCCGACTGGTTCATCTATCTCAATCGGATCATCTACTATATATTCTTTAGTGTTCGATACTATCAATTAAATACTAGTTGGTTTCTATCTGTTTCCCTACTACGGATTATCATAATCTTCAATAAATTAGGTAGTACTGCATAAGTCCCAACAAATTGACATCATCCGCAATAATAATTAATAATCTCAATTTAAGTACAATTATATCCAAAGTAGTAATTAACCAATCAACCAGGAATGAATGTCTTAAATTTTAATGGCTCAATCTTTTCATTGACATCTTCACTCCTAGCGTCGACCCGAGAAGAAACGACGCTAGTCGCGTCGGCCTCATCTTCAGCGTTCAGGAGTTCCTTCAGGTTTCGCGTGCCGATGCAAAATGCGAAAAAAACTGCTACGGAGTGGCTATAATCCATATATTCTCCATATATGTTCCATATATTCTCCATATATCATGTGGATAAATTATATAAATTACAATATTTCACCAACACAAACAACAAGTGCTTAAGGAAAATGTGACCAGTGACTTCGCGGTGATGTCACTTTCTGTCTGCCATGTTTGGGATGGTTTCCCCTATTGACCAACACTTCTGGTGAGGGTTGTGAGGTCGTTTACGCTACTATTTGCCCTGCTACATGTTAATACAGATCACATAGTATACTATCATGCAGTACAAAATCATACCAGTATGTGCAATGATAAAAACATATGTAATAATTGTGTGGGTTATGGTCACTCCACAATCATTAGCTGTTCCTTATAATGATTTATGATGGGTACATTAATATAATCTCGTATTTCATCCCGGGATGACAAAGGCAGTTCCAACTCTGAATAGATCATAATAATTCACTACCGTGAACAGTTCGGCTATTTTGTCACAGTTCTTCCAATCCTAACTAACCATTATTCATGTGAGGTCGCTCAAACTATCCGGAATATAAATCATCATATGCATATGAATAAATCATCTTATTGTCTTTTTATATAATATAAATCATCATGTTAATAAATCATCAAATAAATCATCACGTTAACAAATCATCATGTTAAGTTAATAGATCATCATGTTAATAAATCATCATGTTAATAAATCATCATGTATAAATCATCGTGTTAAGTTAATAAATCATCATATTAAGTTAATAAATCAACATATATAAATCATCATGTTAAGTTAATAAATAATAATGTTAATAAATCATCATGTTAAGTTAATAAATCATCATGTTAATACATAATCATGTTAAGTTAATAAATCGTCATATATACCGTAAATTATCATGTTAAGTTAATAACTCATCATATCTAAATCATCATGTTAAGTTAATAAATCATCGTATATACCGTAAATCATCATGTTAAGTTAATAACTCATCATATCTAAATCATCATGTTAAGTTAATAAATCATCATGTATAAATCATCATGTTAACTTCATAATTCATCATGTTAATAAATCATCACCCTCATTTCAGGAACCTTACCCCATCTCAAGCCCCCCCCATTTTTTCAGCTTCAAACTTCCACCTTTGCCCACCTCCCACCCCCAGATCCATCGCCTCGCTGAGGGAGCCCCCCTCCACCGGCTTCTTGTACACTTGGCGCTTGGCGAAGAACGCCTCGAGATTCGTGGTAGGCTGGTGGCAGCTGGGAGGTCGGGGTGGTGCCAAAATGGCCCCTTCAAAAAAATGGGAATCTTCGAGTTGCGCCGTTTTTGTTGCTGATTCACTGAGACTCATAAGACCAGCGGCAATAGAGATGGGGAAATCTTGATGGCAACCAGCGACAATCATTCGACCATCTTGAGTTTCTGAGCTGGTCAAGCCGTGAAATTCAAGAAACAAAACTGGTTTTACTTGCAGTAACGATCAACCTGTTCTTCAAACAAAAAAAACGATCCCAAATAAAATAAATAAACTGAGTGATGGAAAAAAAACGTTAAAAGAAAACATGCGGATGACTGGAGCGCTGGCTGGTTCATCAAATTACCCCCCAAAGAAACTCGGCACCGAAGAAGCCGCCCTAGCCGTGCCTTCCACAACTCAGCCTTTGTGAGGTCGCGGAAATGGGATTCCTGGTGTTTTCGCGATGTGACAAGAAAGAATCCACCAATGACTCAATGACCCAGAAAAAATCTGATGTTCAGTACCAAACTAACAAGGATTCCACAGTAAATGGGGATTGAAGCACCGGAATTTTCGGGGGATTGACATTTTTGTTGCCTGGGATCGGTTGTTTCAGGATTTCTTCAGGGCAGATATGAAGAACAAGCGAGTTCCTGGGCTGAATGTCTAGTCATCCTAGAAATAGTTGATTTACCTATTCAAGATGGTGATTTTCCATAGCTTTTTGTATGTTTACCAGAGGGTATTTCCAAAATGTCTCCCCAAAAAAATCCTGATGATTTTATGATTTGGAAAGCGACATGTCCATCGACTCTATCTACTTTAGGAGGACGAAAATCATCGAAAATCTACAAGTTGGGTTGGTTCAAAAAAAACGAGGAAAACGGATGAACAAATGATCAAGGGTCATTTCAGGTATCTAAAATGGAGAGACTGTACCATTCTTGAAGCCATAAAACTTGGGGGTCCCCCATATTTCAATGGATCCCATTTCTGATGCCAAAGTCGGGCTGGAAAATCCATAGCTAAGGAACCATCGGTTCCTAGGGAGGGTACATCATCCACTTTAGTGATTCTATGCTATCCTGGTCTTCAGTTTTTTTGTTGTTCATCCAAATAAAATGTGTTTGAAATTATCCACTTATAAGTATAAATATAAATATAATATCTAAATATCTATATCATTTATATATATATGTATATATATAACATATATATAACATATATATAACATATATATAACATATATATAACATATATATAACATATATATAACATATATATAACATATATCTATAACACATATCTATAACATATATCTATAACATATATCTATAACATATATCTATAACATATATCTATAACATATATCTATAACATATATCTATACCATATATCTATAACATCTACATATATAACATCTACATATATAACATATATATATATAACATATATAGAACTTATATATATAACATGTATATCACATATATGTAACATATATATATAACATATATAAAACATATATAAAACATATATATAACATATATATAACATATATATAACATATATAAAACATATATATAACATATATATAACATATAACATATATATAACATATATATAACATATATATATATAACATATATATAACATATATATAACATATATATATATAACATATATATATAACATATATATATATATAACATATATAACATATATAACATATATATATAGCATATATATATACTAGTAACATATATATATATATATGTCTAACATATATATGTATATATAACATATCTATATATATACTTATCAACAAACTTTTTGAGTTTCTACGATCGTTGTTTCCCTAAGCGTCCATCCCAATGTCCAGCCATTTTTCTCACGCCATTATATACACAGCTGAGATCAGAGGTTGGACTGCAGCCGATCCCAGGCCAAAAGCCTGCCAAAATGAAGGGGAAAGCGGAGAATTTTGGGCAAAACCATGGGAAAACAGACAATGATCAGTAATGATCAGGTTGAAAACCTACAAGAGTTATGGGGAAAACTGAAAGTAGAAGAAATGTAGAAGAATTATCATCCTGGCCGCATGCTTTGAAAAGCATCGTGGGAAGGGAGTTACTATACAGCGCAGTATTTGGGAAGGGGGTCACAAATAAGTAACTTGACATTGGCAATCACCACTTGGTAATTGGTAAATCATCCTGGTGATCACTTCAGACCTAGTTAGTTATTGCTCAACGATCCTGGTCCCCTGCTGTGAGCCGCAAAAAAAAGGTGTAGCTCTATATCACGACCAGTGTCAGATACCGACAAAGTCAAGTTCACCAAACATTCCCAGCTATCAAAATCTATCACCAACCATCGATGAGGAAAGCAAAGGGGCACTGCGTCACGCTCACCGAGTTCAACGGAAAACCACGGATCTCAACCGCCAGTCTTTCAGCCGAGATTCTAGATAGCTAACTTCTACCAATGTTGAAATTTCTACCCTCTGGTTATTTAACATAGCCATGCAAAATGGCCCTAATCGAAATAGATGGTTTACCGATTAATAGCATGGTCCATGGTGGATCCTTCCATGGCTAGCCCTGTGAATGTCAATGACCATGTTTTCTTCTCCAAGGCCATCATCCAGCACCTGGGATTGAGCTGTCGCAGCTGGCTGACGCCCAGTTGCTGCATGCAGAGTTTCAGTTCCGCCGTCAGCTGCTGCACCAGCTGCACGATGCCTTCCTCGCCGCCGCAGGCGGCGGCCCAGTAGTACCTCGCGACGACAGAAAAAATGGGAGTTGACCAAGCAAAATTGGTAAACATTTATTAGCGGGGATCTGAATGAATATTGAGTGTGATTTAAGCAACAGCAAATTGGAGATTTACCGCAAAATGTTTTTTTGGGAATATGTCATTGGATAATAAGGGGAGATGATGGGATATAGAACCAAGATGAATGATGTGTGGGTACTTAACCAAAGAAATTCGACCTCCCTTTTTGGGGTATAGTGATTTTTAATCTCTAAACTGTAAAATTGGGTAACTTAATTTCATGTGGCATATGGTTAAAAACTCTAGCATTTTACTGGGATGATTCGAGAGAATAGAAATTGGTTCTTAGCTGAACACAGAAACCATATGAAACCATGGAACCGTCGAAACTGTCCTATTTTGCGTTACTTAAGAATTTCAGAATCCCCAATAAACATCAACAATAAACTAGAGTACAACACACTACAGTAACCATTCAACAGTGGTATTTCCTTTATACTGGCTGGTTCATTAATGGATTTCTTGGATTCCCCCAATGGGTCATAATCCCAATAAACCAGGTAGTATAAGTTCCTGTATATATACATAATATAATATATATATATATATTTATACATATAATTATGATATAATTATGTAATAATAGTCAATCAACAGGAGTTTGGGTCACTGCTCAATATTTTATCGTTAAAACCCCATAAGATCCCTATAATTCATGGTCGACACCCAGTCAAATCCGTTCAACGACTATGTTTTATCAGTTGTATCCCCATATGTTTGATGATTAAAACCCAAGATCAATGATGGTTAAATCATCATAAACTACTTCATATCATCAACCAACTTGCTATTTTGGTCACAGTTCAAGGATTCTGACAGTCCCCAATATTAATTGGATAGATTGGATGGTATATGGCAGTGTGTCAAAACCTTGTACCCCTGGTGAACATAAGAATAGTTGGTAAATGGATGTTCATCCCTCTAAAAATGGTATTAATAGGTATTGTGAATCCAGTGGCCGGCTCCCTGTCCTCAAACGGTTTTGGCACCTCGCCCTCGGATGGTCATTGTCCCTCGCCTATGCACTAGGGGGCCCCTGTGTTCGGGCCAGATCGATCGTGGCCAGTTTGGAATCAAGTGTACTCGGAATGGCAACAACATGTTCACAGCTCCCCAAATTTTCTTTGATTCCAAACTTTCTTATGGACTGACTGTCTTGACCGCAGTTCTTGGCACTGGATCTTGCCTCCATGTGCTCAGTTTCTTCTACCAGTTTCAAAAGGCCTCTATCCAACATGCGGAACAAGGCTTCGTGTGAGCCTTTCAGTTTGGTCAGTCCATCAGCCAACATAGCTGGGTCCATGGTCACTTGCGACCCTAAAAAACGGTCACTTGTGACCCTAAAATCCCCGGTCACTTGCGACCCTAAAAAACGGTCACTTGCGACCCTATTCCTTTAAAAACTCTCACCCCCCCTGCGTTCCACCATGCAATTGTCTCCTTTAAAAACTCTCCACCATGCAATTGTTTGGCTGGGGGGGAGGGATCATTCTACTTACATCATTACTTGACTCAGCCATTTAGGGTTTGGTTGGGGGGGGGATCATTCAACTTAGATCATTACTTGACTCAGCCATTTAGGGTTTGGTTGGGGGGGAGGGATCATTCTACTTACATCATTACTTGACTCAGCCACTTAGGGTTTGGTTGGGGGGAGGGATCATCGTACTTACATCATTACTTGACTCAGCCATTTAGGGTTTGGTTAGGGGGGAGGGATCATTCAACTTAGATCATTACTTGACTCAGCCATTTAGGGTTTGGTTTGGGGGGAGGGATCATTCTACTTACATCATTACTTGACTCAGCCATTTAGGGTTTGGTTGGGGGGGAGGGATCATTCTACTTAGATCATTACTTGACTCAGCCATTTAGGGTTTGGTTGGGAGGGAGGGGTTATACATTACTTGACTCAGCCATTTAGGGTTTGGTTGGGGGGGAGGGATCATTGTACTTAGATCATTACTTGACTCAGCCATTTAGGGTTTGGTTGGCGGGGAGGGATCATTCTACTTACATCATTACTTGACTCAGCCATTTAGGGTTTGGTTGGGGGGAGGGAACATTGAACTTAGATCATTACTTGACTCAGCCATTTAGGGTTTGGTTGGGGGGAGGGATCATTCTACTTACATCATTACTTGACTCAGCCATTTAGGGTTTGGTTGGGGGGGAGGGATCATTCTACTTACATCATTACTTGACTCAGCCACTTAGGGTTTGGTTGGGGGGGAGGGATCATTCTACTTACATAATTATTTGACTCAGCAGCCATTTAGGGTTTGGTTTGGGGGAGGGAAGCATTGAACTTAGATCATTACTTTGACCTTCAAGAAGTCAGGCCCCATTGTAGATGAGGGTTTGGGTTGGTGGGGAGGGGATCATTTCTTTAAACTACCATCTTACTTGACTCAGCCATTTGGGTTTGGTTTGGGGGGGAGGGATCATTCTACTTACTCTTACTTTTTTGGACTCAGAACAGCCATTTAGGGTTTGTTGGGGGGGAGGGGTTATACTACTTGATGACTCAGCATTTAGAGAGAGGTTTGGTTGGGGGGGGGGAGGGGTTATACATATTGACTCAGAGCCTTATGGTTGGGTTTGGTGGGGGGGAATCATTTGTACTTAGATCATTACTTGACTCAGGCCATTTAAACGCGGGTTTGGTTGGGGGGGGGAGGGTTCTACATTACTTGACTCCAGCCATTTAGGACTCAGCCATTTAGGGTTTGGTTGCGGGGGAGGGATCATTGTACTTAGATCATTACTTGACTCAGCCATTTAGGGTTTGGTTGGGGGGGAGGGATCATTCTACTTACATCATTACTTGACTCAGCCATTTAGGGTTTGGTTAGGGGGGAGGGTTCATCGTACTTACATCATTACTTGACTCAGCCATTTAGGGTTTGGTTGGGGGGGAAGGATCATTCAAATTAGAACATTACTTGACTCAGCCATTTAGGGTTTGGTTGGGGGGGAGGGATCATTCTACTTACATCATTACTTGACTCAGCCATTTAGGGTTTGGCTGGGGGGGAGGGATCATTCAACTTAGATCATTACTTGACTCAGCCATTTAGGGTTTGGTTGGGGGGGAGGGATCATTCTACTTACATCATTACTTGACTCAGCCATTTAGGGTTTGGTTAGGGGGGACGGATCATCGTACTTACATCATTACTTGACTCGTCACGGTGATACGACATGAAGCAGATTGAAGCCTAATACGTAACTATATGTTTCTTGTCTACGTGATGCTGCACCCACCTTCTGCCTTGGCAAAATGCCACTGCGGACGACACAATACCAAATTTGGCACAATTGAGGACTGCAACTTGGCACATGCGATTTGGAAGTTCTTTAGCGCAAGTGCGCGCATGAACTTCACAAACTAATCTTTCTCCCAGGATTTCAGCAATCACTTGAGCACCACAGTGCAACATATTGGAAGGTCACGAGACTTGTACAACCCATGTACAATGTGAATGGATATGCCCTAATGCCCTAATGGACAAATAGATGGACATGCATGGATATAACAGTATACTATCATACTATACCATTGTCAATGGTGGTGAAATTCAGTGCATCACCGACGCATGGATTGCTAAGGTTGGCCGCAACTTTCTGTATAATTGTCTGGCCGCGAGTTTGTCTGTGTATAACTTTCTTCGTGAATATATTTTGCATTATCGAAGGAAGTTTCGAAATCAAACTTCCAACAATATGGGCAGATGAAAAGCAGAGATGGGAAGAGGCAGAGAGAAGAGAAGAGTAGAAGAGAGCAGATCAGAGAAGAGAACGAGTCAGAAGAAAGAAGATGCAGAGGAGCCAAAAGGTAGTGTTTTCCAATGCCTTGTGGCTCCGGAGGGTCGACAAGTAAGCTCGCTACAGCGGCGGGCGCGGAGCCAGCTGCCCAGATGAGAAATACAAAATTGCACGCCGTTGTGGCGTGACGTCCATTTCGAAGTCAACATGCACAAAAACCAACATGTTTGGACCGCCTTTAGCAGTTGAGATGGAGAGATAGAGAGATAAAGAGATAGAAAGAGAGAGAGAGAGAGAGTCAACAGTCAACATGTACAAAACACACCATGTTCGGACCGTTTTTAGAAGTTGAGGTAAAGAGATACAGCGATAACAAGATAGAAAGGGAGAGCGAGAGAGATAGATAGATAGAGAGATAGAGAGAGATAGAGAGAGAGATAGATAGATAGATAGATAGATAGATAGATAGATAGATAGATAGATAGATAGATAGATAGATAGATAGATAGATAGATAAGATAAGATAAGATAAGATGAGATGAGATGAGATGAGATAAGATAAGATAAGGTAAGATAACAAGATAGATAGAGAGAGATAGATAGATAGAGATAGATAGATAGATAGATAGATAGATAGATAAATAGATAGATAGATAGATAGATAATTAGATAGGTAGATAGATAGATAGATAGATAGATACATAGATAGATAGATAGATAGATAAATAAATGACATGTAGCTTCGAAGCCCTTAAACGAAGCTTTTCTGCGAGACTTCCTACAAAAATGAAGCTTCGAAACTCAAACACAAAAACTTTTCTGCGAGACTTCCTTCAAAAATGAAGCTTCGAAGCTCTAAAACGAAGCTTTTCTACGAGACTTCCTTCAAAACTGAAGCTTCCAAACTCAAAAACCTAGCTTCGAAGCCCTTAAACGAAGCTTTTCTGCGAGACTTCCTTCAAAAATGAAGCTTCGAAGCTCTTAAACGAAGCTTTTCTACGAGACTTCCTCCAAAAATGAAGCTTCGAAGCTCTAAAACGAAGCTTTTCTGCGAGACTTCCTTCAAAAATGAAGCTTCGAAGCTCTAAAACGACGCTTTTCTGCGAGACTTCCTTCAAAAATGAAGCTGCGAAACTCAAAAACGAAGCTTTTCTGCGAGACTTCCTTCAAAAA